ATTATATTTCCTATTTAGGTTTCATCTCCTAATAATAAGTTCTTACTAACTCACTCTTGCCCCAGATTGCTTCCCCTGTGCTTCAGTAGTGTATTAAAAAGGCATTCTGAAAACAAACCTTTGTAAATTTTTGTGTAAAAAAAATAAAGAATTGTCACTGATAATAGTCCTATGGCCACATATAGGCAGAAAACTCAACCACTCCCTTTAAGGAGTGTTGTCTACTAGTAGAAAGGAAGCACACAGGAAAGCAGCAAGGATGTTGTACCTACAGAAACTGTAAATGAGTAATCTTTAAAATTTCGTTCCTTCCCTGCAGGACAGAGAAGGTAATGCATAAGGAAAATCCAAGTCAGAGGGCAGAGCACTCTTAAGGTCCATGCACGGGTGATGCGGGAACTCCAAACTTCAATAGAAAAAGCATGAATACTAAAAAAAACAGCACATTTCCTGGATACGCCCTATTGTTAATCTCTCATTACTCAGGTTAAACAGGAGTACACAGGTTTATTTAGACGGAATAACAGTTCTTGTACAACATAGCAAACAATAAAGAAGAAAAGTAAGTTAACCTGGGAGAGAAGTAGAAAAACAAAGAAAATGCTTATGCTAAAGCCAGGCCTAAGCCCTAAACCTGTTCTGACTCCAACCCAGATTCAAGCACACCAAAACTCAGCTGACCTCTGAAAAATCCTGGCCAGGTACTTTTCAAACCCTTGTGCTATTGATGACAACAATGTACAAGCATCCTGGAACCAAAATATGGAAGGACAACAATACTGCGAAAGCCAACTGCAAACTATACCAACACACAGTCTCAGGACAAGCTGGATGCAAGTACTCAGTCTCTTCAGCTCTTCTTTACATTTATTTAAAAATATATACTTCTTATTTATTAGTACTGATAAACTAGAGCTCAGCAATCCACAACATATTACCATTGTGCTGGACCAAGACAATTGGAAACAACAGATTAACAACTTCAAGTTAACAAAACCATAAAATCACAAATAGATGGCCTTCTCTATTGCCCATGGCCTCATTCTGCAACAACATTAGTGTGTCTTCAGAGAATAAACAGGACCATATAACGGCAATTATTCTCATGGGCTCATTGCAGACATGACCTTACCCTCAGGACTTGGAATCTGCCCCCAGTTGGGCTGGAGTTCCTGAGGAATTTTAATGATGAGGTGTGAGGGTCAGGCCATGCTTGCTACCTCTTTTGCAAAATAGAAACCCATTTTGGTGGAGCTGACTGAGGCTGGTTGCCATCTGAGGTCCCCTTAGTGTCTCCAAGGAATGGTTTGCGTGCGACAGGTAGCCAAACATTCACACCCAGTGCCTAGTTACTCTAAGTGCCCTGACAGAAATATAAAAAAAAAATTCTATGGTGCCAGCCACTACATCTGAACACTTGTTAACATTGTGTTGTGGTTTAACCCGGCAGGCAGCTAAACACCACCCAGACGTTAGCTCATTCTCCCCCCCAGTGAGATGGGGGAGAGAATCAGAAAAAAAAAAAAGTAAAATACGTGGGTTAAGATAAAGACAGTTAATAATAATAATAATAGAAGAATACACAAAGCAAGTAATGCACAATGCAATTGCTCACCACCCGCCGACCCATGCCCAGCCAGTCCCTGAGCAGCAGCCCCACCCCCCCGGCCAGCTTTCCTCCAGTTTATATACTGAACATGACGTCCCATGGTATGGAATGTCCCTTTGGCCAGTTGGGGTCAGCTGTCCTGGCTGTGCCCCCTCCCAGCTTCTTGTGCACCTCCAGCCTTCTCAGTCAGTAGAGCATGGGAAGCTGAAAAGTCCTTGGCTAGTGTAAGCACTGCTTAGCAACAGCTAAAACATTGGTGTGTTATCAACATTATTCTCATCCTAAATCCAAAACACAGCACTGTACCAGCTACCAGGAAGGTACTACTCTATCCCTGCTGAAACCAGGACATATTGTTAGGAAGAAACCTCTGGTTAGGGCTAACACTTGCTTTCCTCATGGATCTGGAACATCCTTTGCCTATTGTATCCCAAATAACAGGACAAGGCTGTCTCGTGCTCTCATCTTTTTCCCATCTGTAGTTGTATGACTGTGTTATCTGCTAGGGATCCCCATCTTACCCAGAATTTCAGTAAGGTGTTCAGCAGCACCCAGGGAACAGGACGAAAGGGGTATATAGGTGGCAGTGACCTGTTAAGCTACAGACTGCTCACACCTGCACCCTCCGGGAGCTACCAAGCGCAGTGGGAAGACTGGTCTGCTGTAAGGCACAACAACTCTCAACTCAGCTAAGAGATATCTTTCGATTACTCTGCAGAAAGCTAACTCCGGCTCCCACTTGGCACCAAATATAAGTATCCCTGGGACTCAGTTTAACTGGTGAAGTCTTCATTTCGTCAGCCTCTAGCACAACAGTCCATTAACCTCAGTGAATTACCTTGTAGTCTCCATCCATCAAAGTGTCTGGCTACCTGATGAAATAAAGAGTTATTTCTTGGGTCTGTCACTATGTGTCAGTTCAATGTCTAAATCATTTATTCAATATAATTAATCCATTATATCCCAACTGTAGTGTCTGCCCTGTCAACCTGAAGAGGTGGTCGGGAAAGTTCCCAGGAACACCAGAAACAGTATCAATGGGACTGACGAATCACACCCGTACCTGGCATGCCAGGGTCATCCAGGAAGGCATAAATTCCCTCCACTCCCACACTGATGTTGGAGCACAGCTTAATTTGAGGACAATGAACTTCAACAGGAGGCAGAAAGGGCAGAAACCACTCAAGGGGCAGCAAGAAGCAATTTCATAAATAGTTCCTACTGCCTAAGTGAACTGAGAAGATGTGTGGTGAGAAAGAGCTTTCAGGGTGAAGATAAGAGTGTTCAGATCCCACGATGAGCATCGATACCCAGAAGTGCCATTCCTCTCATCTGGTGAAACGTCTGGGATCTCCCAGATCTATATCATCACTTTGGTTTTAGGCTTGCTACACCAGAATTATACCTCACAACCTGCAGGGTTGCATGACCCCCAGTTACAGACAGCACTGACTGAATGAAGTGAGTCAGTCATAGCTGGCCTCCTGTCTGCTACCTGCCATTGCACCTAATCTCCATCCAGCACTGCAGAACAAGGCTAGCTGGTGCCTTTCTTCCTTCACTGTCATCTAATCCTTTACCCTGGTTCATCTGCCATGAAAGAATCTGAAATGCTGCACCATCCATCAGTCCAGCATGTGCTAGTGAGGAGCAGGCTGTGGACCAAGCCCGACAGCACTGGTGACAGAATAAAGCATTCAGCACAGAGCATATATACAGGATGATTTATACAGAAGGATAGGCAGGTTCTCACTATTCATTCTTGAATATTTACTGGGCTGGCTTCAATTACAAGGCTTAGCGGCATGAACTCCAGATGCACAATGCTAAGTATTTTTCTAAGGTCATGGGCAGCAATTGAAAGTCAACTTTGATACATTAAAAAATACTGCTAATAGGGAACTGCTCTGAAATCAGCCCAACGTGATGCCTTTCAGATTTGGTAATAATGAATAAACGAGTGACTCGTAACAGTCTACTCAGTGGAAACAAAACATAATTTGGCTGGTCATTTGCTTTTCTTCATCTTTTTTTGGGGGGAATGGGAGGGGAGGCAAGTCCTGTGGCAATAGCCTTGAACAGACCATCTCCGTTTTGAATCTGCTGAGATGAAATATCTCCTTTCAACAACAAAGGCTGTACTCTGATCAAAGCCCAACCAGCAGCACGCCCTGCAGTGGTATACACCAGATCCTAATTCCTGCAAGTGCCCGAGGCGATGTGAGACTCCCATCAGTCAAGTATAATCATAGAATCATAGAATCATTGAGGTTGGAAAAGACCTCTAAGATCATCGAGTCCAACCATCGACCCAACACCACCACCCACTAAGCCATGTCCCTAAGCGCCTCATCTACGCGTCTTTTAAATACCTCCAGGGATGGGGACTCAACCACTTCCCTGGGCAGCCTGGTCCAATGTTTCACCACTCTTTCAGGAAAGAAATTTTTCCTTACATCCAATCTAAACCTCCCCTGGCACAACTTGAGGCCATTTCCTCTCATCCTATCACTAGTTACTTGGGAGAAGAGACCAACACCCACCTCGCTACAACCTCCTTTCAGGTAGTTGTAGAGAGCGATGAGGTCTCCCCTCAGCCTCCTTTTCTCCAGGCTAAACAACCCCAGTTCCCTCAGCCGCTCCTCAGAAGACTTGTTCTCCAGACCCCTCACCAGCCTCGTTGCCCTTCTCTGGACATGCTCCAGCACCTCAACGTCCTTCTTGTAGTGAGGGGCCCAAACCTGAACACAGTATTCGAGGTGCGGCCTCACCAGGGCCGAGTACAGGGGCACGATCATTTCCCTACTCCTGCTGGCCACACTATTTCTGATACAGGCCAGGATGCCATTGGCCTTCTTGGCCGCCGGGGCACACTGCTGGCTCATGTTCAGCCGGCTGTCAACCAGCACCCCCAGGTCCTTTTCCGACAGGCAGCTTTCCAGCCACTCTTCCCCAAGCCTGTAGCGCTGCAGGGGGTTGTTGTGGCCAAAGTGCAGGACCCGGCACTTGGCCTTGTTGAACCTCATACAATTGGTCTGGGCCCATCGATCCAGCCTGTCCAGGTCCCTCTGCAGAGCCTTCCTACCCTCGAGCAGATCAACACTCCCGCCCAACTTGGTGTCGTCTGCAAACTTACTGAGGGTGCACTCCATCCCCTCATCCAGATCATCGATAAAGATATTAAACAAGACGGGCCCCAAAACTGAGCCCTGGGGAACACCGCTCGTGACCGGCCGCCAACTGGACTGAACTCCATTCACCACAAAAAACTTTTAAATAAAAAAAAAAAACAACATAGATTTTTTTTCCCGGCGCAGCGAAACCTTTATTGTTTAGAAAAGCCCGTTCCGAAGGCGCCGGTTAACGCGGGCGGGGGGGGGGGCCGGGGGGGGGGCGGGGCTCAGAGGAAGGCGTCGCACCACTCCCGCAGGCAGCCGGAGCAGTCCCGCGACTGCTTGGCGCTGGTCCCGCACGTCTCCTTCAGCCACTCCCGCAAAAGCTCCTCGTCCTTGCGCAGCACCAGGAACTGCCCCAGCACCACGTACGCCTTGTCAAAGCCCTTCTCCTCCAGCTTCTTGCCCAGGACGTCCCCGATGCCGGCCAGCGTCCCCACCGGCTTCTCCCCCATCGGCTGCGCCACGAAGTCCCGGTGCTTCTGTGACGTCGAGGACATGGCGCCGGCCCCTGGCGCCGGCCCCTCCCGCCGCCCCAACCGCCGCTCCCGCCTCGGGCCGCTGCCGCCGCGCCTAAGTAATACAAGGACAGGAGAAAACACTGTAATTTTCAGTTCAGCCCAACAAACCCTGCAGCCTCTTGGCTTGCAGTAACCTGGAATGCATCCTGCAAACAATTAGCAAGATGGCTTTCCAAGCAGATCAACACCACACGGCTCTTCTTTGATACTGTTTTATTCTTCCTCCCCTCCCTCCCAAGAGTTTTTTCAGGAACTCTACATGCATGCTGCTGGGAGTACAATTATAGGACAGCATGTACAGTAGAAATTCATTCAGCATGTTTCTGGGATCCCTCATTTTTATGCAAGGGCCTCTGCGCCTGTTCTGCCTGCACCCAGTGTGCGTGCAGTTATATGAGACGCTTGGACAAGCAATTACCCATCGTGTGAATAAAGGCTTGTTTTGTCAAGCAAATATATATGTGCAAAAATGTACAGTCCTGTGTTGTAATTGTCTCAAATACCATCGTGGCATGACAGTGAGTTACAATATGCCAGAGCACAGGGATCGCATGTCTCTAAGTAATTACTTGCCTTCTGCATAGACCCTCCCAGAAGCTCCTCTCCATCTATACTGCAGCCATTTATGTAGGGCAAACACTGCTGTTAACAGACTGAATGAGTGTAATGAATGAATAAAAGTATTTTCTGTACTTAAAACTCAGATAGCACAGCTTATACTACTTTTGAAAGCACCGGCTCAATTATACCTTTTTGCAGAGTGGAAAGGGGGTCTGCACCAGCCACTTGCAGGCAGGCAGGGTTTAGCAGTGGGCAAATGTGTCATCCCCACTCTCACCTTGCTCACTTTCCCCTTGTCCCTCCTCCTGCACCCAGCAAGAGCAAGACTCTTGCTACCCAGCCTTCTGCCTTACCCACAGGACCACACTATGCTCAACAGCCTACCAAGCGTTGCTGCTGAGAAATTACCTCCCAAACAGGCAAGTCCCTCACAGATAACGTGTCTGAAAATGGCAGGTTTGCCCATTCTGTTCTCTATCGATCAGGAGAGGGGGCTTCTGCTGCCAAGCCATTCTGGTTATGGTCACTGCATGGAAAAGGCAGGTATCGACTAGGGGTAGCCCCCAGACCCATAAAACATCTCAGCAGCTCCTACCTGCTGCTGGGGGTGATGGCGCAAGGGACAACAGTGCAGTACAAGGACTCTGGGCTGGTGAGATGGATTGGCCATTTACTGTCCCAGAAGGAAATATGGCTTCAAATCTAGGCTGAGCTATGGATGGTCTATGTGATGTTGATCAAACTATCTGCTCCTCTCTGTCTCTGTTCCAAGGTGGAGTCAGGGCTCTAGGAGTCTGTGCAAGTCACCATAAGTGTGCAGTTTTTGGAAACTGGTAACTGGTTAATGTAAATGTTTCCAAGTCAGAATTCTTTTTCATACCTTTAAATACTTTAGGAAGATGGAACCACCCACTCTAAGTCTGTAGTTTTAGTCTGTATCTTTGGTCTAGAAATATATTGAGAATTTCCTTTTCTATTTTTAGGAGTTCAATTATTTTAAGAAAGAAACTTAAATTTGTTGGAGATGTGCATTTCCATGTGTATCTTACAATCACTTCTGAAAGAGAAAACATTAAAACAAAAAGACTGTCTCATATTTGTCCATTAGCACTGAAAGATGACCTACCAAGCAATTAATAGTATAGATTCAATCATTTAAATTCTCCTTATTCAGCAACTGGACTTAACTGCTCTGTTAAATTCCACTGAAATCCATAATATATAAACATGTAGGTGCTTTATCAAACAGGGATGTAGTTACCTGCAGAGCCATGCTGCAGTGCAGAGAAGAGTGTGCACTGGCATGGATATGTTCTTTTATTTTCTGTGATCCTGTGTTTATCTGTAGGTCTGTGAATTCCCTTTGTGTGTACTGACAGCTGCTTGATAAATGCATAGTCACTGCAAAAAGAGATAAACCCTGCTGCAACAGTTTACTGATAGCATCAGTGTTCAATCTAAGGCAAATGCTAAATCACAGAAATCAACAGTTCATGCAGAGATCTGAGATTATTTGGTTTCAGAAGCTAAGAAGCACTGTGACTTTGCACTGGAATACAGGATTTCCATACAAGTGTAATAGTGAGCAAGATGCGGATTTGGCAAAGTACTTCTGGGAATTTTGGGGCAGAAGGAAAACTGCTTGTGGCTTTTAAAAAATATTTTTAATTATTATTATTTCATATTTCATATATTTTCTCCACAAATAGCTCTTTCCTGTAGCTCTTTTAGAGGTGTTTTTTCGTATTCGATAAACACAATCTCAGATTGAGGACACACATGAAACGGCATATTTGTGATCTCTGACTGGATAATAGTAATTCTCAGGTTCATATTTCCTGTGCCACATTCATGATTATGAGCTCAAAAAATCACTTTATGTGCATGATTTGTAATCATTGCTTAAAAGTCAGTAAACAATTCCACAGTTAACTCATTCTGCCAAATATTCTTACAGAGGAAATATAAGTGGCTGTAATTCAGGCAAATCCAATGCATATTTACAGAATCCTTGCTGTGTTTCTTCTAAACTAACAGCCCCATCTGGCTATATTTTGTTGCTTTTCAATACAAAAAGTGTATTTTTCAGTACAAAAAGCTGTATAACAGCATAAAGTGAGGAGATCAGATACCTTGTTATGTAGGAAAAGCCTAGATAACAGCCTAACTCTCTATGTTTTCTTACAGTTTGCTTGGCTGTTGGTTCTTGACAGCATAAACTGTAGTCCCAGGCAGAAATCATAGCCCCATCTGATCTCAAAGAAATTTTGTCTTTGATTCAAGAAAAAAACAGAATTTCAACTCCATTGATTTACCTGGATTCACACTGCCTTAACTGTCTTGAAAAATGAAAGTTTCACATCATGACTCCCGGTGCAAATCAATAAGGGGAATGTTTTTGATGAATGTTAGTCCTACAGAATTATCTGTCATCCAAAATGCCTTTTTCTCTTTCATTTCAGCAGAAAGTTTCTGTATTTTGCTTATACTCCTTGACTTTATAGAGATCTTGGGTGTTACCCAAGATTTCTAAGCATTAGTATTTCCCCTACTAAAAGATACCAGCTGCTTTATATTTTTCTACCCAACTCTTCACACCATCATCAGTGCTAGATCCTTGGCATTACAGGGTCTACCTGTATCTGATAGCCATGTAAATGCAAAGAAGGGCATAATTCTGAAGAGTGCATGCTCACATAAAAGCAATTTTTTAAAAAAGAGAGAGAGATTAATATCAAGATATTCCACTAACTCGGTTTCTTATGGTGTCACTATCAGCATCAGGAATGAGTATCACACAGAGCAAAGGACACATCCCACTTCAGCTAGGGGCCATGTTCAACCAGTCCAAACTCCAAAGTACCTGATTCTGCTGTTTCCTGTGGCCTAGATATCTTTGATGGCCTGGAACTAGGCAATAAGAAGCTCTAGGCACTGACTTGAAGGCCATCTCAACCTTCCCCAAACTAACCAGTCAGTGGCTGCAGTAGAAAAAGGCCTTCGTCACCCTGAAGTCTGCCTGATCATTGCCTAGCAATTAATTTTACTCCAGTCCTGAACCATTTCTGTACCCCAATGCGTGTTCATCAAGAAGAGAAGCAGCTTGAGAGGGTCTGCTCTTCTCCCATCCATTCTGTACCCTTCCCCTGTGCTCTCATGGGGAATGGGAGGGGTACAGCTTTAGGGTGAATCCTTCTCTCAGGCTGGCTATTGGAGGGACAAAGGGAGAAGCAAAGGAACCATTTACCCAGGTGAAGAAGGAGTGGAGCCACCAAGTGCTGTTGAATTTTTCCTGCTCCTTCAAATCCTATGGGAACAGGATCCTGACCGAGCAGAAAAGCTATGGCTCTTACCTAGGAATTTAGCGAGTAGGACAGGCAGTCTGCTTTCAGGTGGCAGTAAAATTTGTAATGCTCAGGGACACCATTTTTTTCCTAGGAGCTATATTTCTTCAGTTAGTGATGCATTATCACCTGGTGCTCTCCAAGCACTGGTTAGTACTATACGTACATATATGAGTAAGCTTCAAATCCATAAAAACTGTTCCAGAATATATAGTATAATTAATCAACCATCTTTTCAACAGAGGTCACGATATTGCGCAAAGCTCATAGTTTGCTAAGTGAAACCAGAGGGCTGTTCTTTTCCTCCAGCAAGCATTCCCCTTGCAAAATCCAGAGCTATTCCATTTAAGTGTTCACTGTTTGCCGAGGGAAAGAACTTTTTTTTTTCCTTAGTATGTGACAGCCAAAAACTAATAAAGTTTTTCCTGAGAGCTGGAGAATGTACAACATCTCTCCAAAGTAATAAATAGCTGCTTGGTCTCTGACTAAAAACAGCTCAGAAAAATACATCCAGTTTTCTAAAGCAATCACACACAAATGTCTATGAACCTATCCCTGGAGGCTGCAGACAGACCTTAGCTTAAGCAGTGACTTAGATCTTCAGAGTGAAATGTTGCTTGAGACATGGGGCTGAAAGGAGGAAAGAGGGGCAAATCCTGAAGGATGGATGGATGGATGGATGGATGGATGGATGGATGGATGGATGGGGAACCCTCTTTCTTTCCTTTCAGCAGGATCCATGTAAGCCAGATTCCATGTCAGTTTATACCAATGCAGTCCGTTCCAGGGATGTGGAGTTTTGCTGCTGCTGCTGCTGCCATTTTCATTTTTTTAGTTTGTGCTAGAAAGTGAGAAACTAGATTGTTACTGTTGAGGTCTCTGGAATCCAGTACCAGGTTTTAGACCTGGATTGGAATAACTCTCATAAATTTCTAGTCTTTGGTAGCATAAGAGACAAAACCAGCTTTTTATGTGAGCAGTGACCTGGGCAGCCTGACAAACCAGTGCCCCGCCAGAAGTATTTGCAAGGTTTCCTTATCTCCATCTGTAGACCAGACTCAAGTCCAACAGGACAGCTGCAGCAAGTTCCTTCTACGGGATCAGATGTGTTTCTCCCTCAGTGCAAGGAACCATC